CTGCTGTGTTTAAAAAAATTAGACTTAGCCGCACTTAAACAACTTTTAAATTGTTGATAATTTTACAACTATAACATGCAGGTTAAGTAAAGGCATAAAAATTCTTAACAGGAAGATAAAAGAACATAATTCAAAATTATAATTTTTAAAGCAAAAAAATAATAATAATAATAATTTTTAAAGCAAAAAAACGCACAATTTACATACATATCAGAATAAAGAAACGGAGCTCACTGAGCCGAGTAATAGAGTGTATATATATATGCATATATTTATATATATATTTGGTGCGGCCAAAAACGCAGGTGCACATCTACATATTATAGCAGTCCCGCATACAAAATTTCAATGTTCTGAGACTATTCGTTTTTTGAGTTATGCGAGATATATACATACATACGTAGATACGTAGGGATTGTTTCGTGGCACCACGAAAAAAATCTCTTCTGAATCCATTTTAAATCAATTTTATAATTCGTTTGGGGAAAAAGGGGTCTTTATTCTGTCCGTACGTACATATGTCAAGCAAAAACATCGTTAAATTGCATTCGATAGCGGCCAAAATGGATATTTTTTTTTTTTGAAATATGGTACCCGGAATTTTTTGTGATTACAGTACTTCCTTTACTTTGTACAAGGAAGTAGAAAAGTACCGATAAATGCTAGTTGTGTCATGAGTTTCTGAAGTTAAGGTCACAATTGTACTTGGTAAGTTAAGGTGTTAGTTATATGCGTTCAGAGACCAAGTTGTTTGTAGGTTTGAATTCAGGCTGTAGTTGTAACGAATCATAACATAGCATCAAAGCAAAGTTGTGTGTACTGTAAGTTTTGTTCGAGAAGACCTCAGTTTATGTTATCATTTTAACTTTCCCAAAACCCACTTCTAGTAGTTAGTAGAGTTCCGTTTAAATTTTACATTTGTGTTGACAGTTAAGCAGGACTGGGAGCAATAATTTGCCAAGTAATAAATTCTGTGAAAGTTATTTCACACCGCACAAGTTAAATGTTTACACCTTTATAGACATCTTAAACTTCTTTTCATTTCGTGGCAATTGACGAAAGTTCCAATTCCACTCAATACGTATTGCAAATGAAGGAGCAGTTGGTGATGGCCGTTTGGGAAACTTTGTGAAACAATCGCTTCGTGTCTCGTCCGTTTCCATTCACTACCGCATAAACGAAGTACTTGTGTGCCATTTCAAGACTTTTCTAACGATGCTCCCTACTTCCGCAAGGTGTAACTTTCGAATAGTAACGACTCTTTCTCTGCAGTAAATTTCTGGCAAATAGTATCCACATAAAAATTTAGATGACGTAAGGGGGTGCATATTCCTATGTAAAAATTGTTTGTTTTCGTATTTATTAACTACCTTTAATGTTTGTGTAAGACCTTATAAGATATTTCTCCCGCCTTTTTAGCAAACCTTCGTGGTGTAATGGTCAGCACGCTCGACGCGTATTCGAGAGGTCCGTGGTTCGAGTCTCGGCCAAGGAATTGCTCATTTTCACGTCTCCTGCTTCGAAATAACCTAATGTCTCTTCAGTGGTGCCCGAACTAAAAGATGATGAAGGGTGATTCTCCACCACCAGGATTTGGCGCATGGGTCCCCTAATCCCCAGTCGCCCTTTAAAAAAGGGTGTATATAAGGTATTTCTCGCGCCTTCGTGGTGTAGTAGTCAGCACGCTCGACGCGTATTCGAGAGGTCCGTGGTTTGAGTCCCAAGGAGGGCATTGCTCATTTTTCACATCTTCTGCTTTCAAACAATGCTAATGTCTCTATAACCTTTCAAATCACCCATAGACTCTTTCTGGAGTACTTTATTATGATTGCTGAGTTGCGTAATCAAGAAGTCTTGGCTCTGGTGGAAAACGTTAAAAATCTGATTTTTTGTTAAGATCTCTCGGAGTGAGCATCGCTCCAGAAAACCAGAATTCAACTATTCTTGTCCTTACGGAGTTGAGAAGGCCCCCCTCCCTAGGATCTAGTAAAGTTGGTAGGATTCGGGAGACTTAATTTTATTTTAAAAGTATGTTGATTAAAGCATTTAATTATTACATTATATTTCTGTCTTCAAATGTATAGGAGATACAGAAAAAAATGACAGAGAAAGGAAGAGAAAAAAAGCAGAGAGAAAGGAGGATTCCTCACAATGAAAAAATTTTAGGTACCTAGGTAATACCTTGAAAAAAAGTTTTCATGAACATTTCAAAAACCCCTTAAAATATTATAAATTATCAGTTGTATAAATTAAAAGCCAAAATTTAATAATTTATATCAGTTTTAAACATTATTAAAAATAAAATGATTACTTGGACATCTCAATATTGCAGCAATAAAGATTTTAAATTATTAACGCGCTTATTGTCTTTAAAGTTACTGAGATTGTAAGTCGATACGACTCATTGATTTCCAAAGTATTTAAAAGTCAAATTATATATTTCACGGTTTGCTAATCACGATACGTTAAGAAGCGGTTATTTGCGAAAGAGCGTAGAAAGTTAATTTAGAGTCTTATGTTCACGCCATAACAAAACTTACCAAAGCACATGAATGATAAATGTTGCTTCTAATTATATTCCAGTTTTCATCAGTCAATTAAGGAAACATAATCTTGACTACAGATTTTATATTGCTAGGAAATAGGAATTGAAAATATCAGCCCCACTTCGAAGTGTTGAAATAAAAGAATATTGAGCTTTTTTCTAATATTGAATTTTTTTAACAAGTCCTACAGGAAGACATTCTTTCTCTTAAGCAGATAATCTTAAAATGCATTTTCATATCGATTAAATAAACGTATAGGGGGTAGTATTTATATACATTTGTATTATTATGGACCTATTTATTTATTTAATATATTTCTATACCAGTCTTCTTTGTATTTATGCCATGTATTTATTCATTTTTCTTAATATTGAATTTCTTGCCACTTGTATTTGTTTCTGTTCAACACTTTATTTTGTAAAATTTATGCTTGCTAACAGACTGATGCGGATATAGCTTAAAGAGCGAATAAACATCCATACTTACTTGAATATGGTAAAGTACTGAAGTGCTGTCTGCCTGAAGGAAAAGATGTCTTCGTGGAGGACTTCCTGAGAAAACCTGGCTTGTATTCACTCTACACACGACAAAACAAACAAACAACCTCTGTAGCCAAACCCTTCACCCATATTGGAAGACAGCTCAAACGACCAGTGTTCAACAGTTATATCGCTCGCCCGCTAGTGAGTTGTAAAGCATTTTTGCGACTTTTCCAACTTTATTGAGACAAATGAAAGAAATGAATCGTACTTCACTGTCCTAATTGAAAAAATTTAATGACATAAATGATATGAGTACACACTGTTCTACAAAGAAATACAAATGAGTTAAAATGAAATAAAACTATACATATGGAATAAATGACATTCTATATACAAGACATTAATGAAGTTATTAAAACTTTTAAATTCACGAATAAGGACATTAACCACCGAAAATGAAGAAGAGTAGGAAAATGAAGAACATAGAAAAAAGAATAACTTTTAAGAAAGCATTAAAACTTATTGACAATTTTTAACAATATTTTTTTTTTTTAATTTAGGAAATGGTGAAGGATTTATTGTAGTTTCTTAATTAAAATTTCGTATAAGCTAGCTGTTTATGGGAATAACAAGCAAAATCGTGTATCAAATTACTTTTAAACTAAAACATGCTTTAAATGTAATTTGCTTTTGCTCTACAAGAATTTACAAAGATATGTTTTTCATTAAGTATCCTTTTTCATTCATTATAATTATGCACAATTTTTAATTTTAGAAGTTATTATTATATTAGCTATATATGTAATGTATGTTGGAGCACGTGCGTTGAAGAGGAAATTTAATAGGTAAATTAAAATTTTATTTTTAATATCAATTATTATTCTTAGCAGTAATTTGCGGAATACACTCGTTAGAAATAATTTTTCAGCTAGAGAAAATAGTAAAATTTTTTAAACCTTAAATATTAAAATCAAAATTTAAGGTTCAAATATTTTTTTTAACTTAAAAACCACGACCTAAATGACTAAGCACTTAGCTGGTGAATGGGGAAAAGTGCAGACAGATATCTGCCTAACGGAAGAAGATTCCTTCGTGGAGGAATTTATAAGAAAACTGAGCCCACCACCCGAGCGTAAAGCTGCCCCGGTAGTTCGGTCCGAGGTTTCGAATCCCGCGAACGGGCTGGCTGCATGGGCGTTTTCGTGGTTTTCCCCATGTGTAACGTGTATACGAGCCAGTTTCCCTTAGAAAGTCCTCTACGAAGGCATCCCTCCCTTTAAGCAGATAGCCCTAGTGTGCTTTGCCATAATTAAATAATGCAATGCTATGCAATAAGGAAAACTGTCTCACATTCTCCTTACACGTGAGGAAAATCACGAAAGCCATCAGATATTTGCTTCACAAAATTAATTAATGTACCTGTTTAATTAATGAATTATCTTTTTAATTAATGAAAGATTTAATGAAAAATATGTTAAAAATTTTATAAGAAATGCAGTTTATTTTACTGTGTATGCCACAAATTTTGATGAATTAATTTTAATTAAAATGAAAGAGTTATATTTTAAAATGGAAATATAATTGAAATAAAATTAATATTATTTTAAATTAAATAATAACAATAAAATTTTTTGTTGATTTTAAAACAAGTTTTCGGTTTCGTGTACTTAAGCTTGTGAATAACTGTAATTTTTTTTTTATTTTAAGCATATAAATTTTTGCTATCCAGAGCTAGCAATTTTTTAACCAACTCGAATTTTTTTTCCGAAACAAATATATATTTATTATAAATAAAAGAGAAACTAGTAAGAATAAAATTGAAATTATCAGTTTGACTCTTTGCTTTCTATTGAGTGGTAGAACGTAGCTAGAAAGTCTCAACGCAACTACTGCCATCTGCCTGGGAGCGAAGAGCGCCCTCTGTAGTGATCCCACCGAATGATACTTCTTCCCGATGGAAGGCGATCGTCTGCAATGGCTACTTTAGTTTCTCGGTTATCACCGAGAGAAAGAGACGCTGCTCTTCCTCTGCGTACGATTTACCTGAACCGAGAAACTGATGGCTTGTGGACTACCCCTGTTCTGCTGAAACAGACACACAGCATTCGGTTTGCCAAGATTTTCGGCAACCACTTGCCCCAAACAATCGGAATGTTATGAGTGTGTATATTTCGAGGAGTTCTTAGCGTATTTTGTGTTCGACTGTTTTGTTTACTTAACGTTGGAGTCCAGCTGACAGTATGGGTAAGTAATGCTTTTTTTTTTTTTTTTTTTAACAGATTCTTAAGGCTTGGTATTGTTTTTCCTTAATGCGCTATTTATCCTGGGGGAACTAACAAAGCGAATCATTTAAAGTCAGTCTATCTCCATATCTGCATTTTAAAATAAAATTTGAAGTCAGGGCTGTTTTATAACAATAATGTGATAAATAAAATATGGAGTTCTAATACTTTATAATATAATGATCATGAAACTTCTAACTCTATTTTTGTGCATTATCACCTGAAACCAAAACAAAATGAAGTACCACTAATGAAATTTATGATTATGTACAGATTGTAGTCTTTATATAGGTATATTTATAGTTTTATTCGAATGGTGTTATATATTATGTTTCAAATTATGAAGGTTTTAAAACCGAAATTCCTTTTTTCATTTATTCAGTAGTAAATATTTAGTCTTAAAGGATGGCAACGATAGATATTCTTTTTTAGGAAGAGAAATATTTGTGGGATTATATCAGATATTTTTTATTTTTATATTATACTAGTATAGCTAGTGTAATTTCAATTGTCTGGCTAGTAATTAATACTAGAGATGAAAAAATATGTTTATTGCTTTTAAATCGTCTAGTTAGCTAGTCAATAAAAGACACCTTAAATTTGAAAGATGAATTAAATATCTTACGGTTTGTGGAATGGCGGTGGAAATGAAAATATTTTATTTTGTGGAGTGGCAACACATTCCTTTTAATTGCTGAATTAATTAATTAAATTTGAAAGTCAAGTATCTTGCTTTATCGAGTGAAAACACAAAGCTTTTATATCGGTGAGTTTTTTATCAAAAGTTTTAAAAATTCGAGCGAAACATGAATAAACTAAAAAAGCAAATCCAAATTAAATTTTAAATTCTGGCTACTAAGTGCATACCTTAGAGTGGAGGACTATGTGTGTTCAAATATGGTCAATCTAGGTGCCGCCGTTTTTCCATTTACATGCCTACATAAATAAGATTATTCATTATTTACATTACAAAAAGCCGTTATTGGTATCCAGTGCAGTATGCAGATTTTTCATTCAGCTGCGATATTTTAAGTATGCTGATCATCAGTCTAAGAAAGTGAATAATTTAAAAAATCATGTACCCATACTTTTAAAAACCATTTTGCGTCGAATATTATTTTATATCACTAGCGAGAACCTCATATGGGAGGGTAACCGTTTTGTGTGCCACCTTTATTTATTAAATATCATATTCTTCGCACTTGAACCATGAAATTAAATTCAACAGCAATATCACAAAATAATTTTAAAATGAGCCTATCTTTAGAATTTCCAATACACAGTCTCTGTGCGCTGGAGATAAAAACATTTTTTTTTCGTACAGTGTTGCCATTGCTTGCTTTGAAATCTTTGAGTTCGTTATTCAAAGTTTTACAAAGTATGAAATAAATAATAAAATAAATTCCAAATTTGCTCTTCCAGATGCCCATATGCGAGTGGAGGACTACATTATTTATGTTACCATTTGAAAAATATTTGAAACAGAAATTTATCGTGTAAAATTAAACATGCAAAACAATTTTCGATTATGTATGAACTTAGTCCTAAAACTTTACAGACACAATGCTTCTATAGAATTTTAGAACCAAATTTTGCAAACCATTGAAAATTGGAGGAAAGAAAAATAACATTCTTAATTCTTAGCCTTCAAAGTATAAGCTTCATAAATCTGCATAACGCTTAGCGAGCTCATAGAACTGCTTGATTCCTTCGGTAAATTTTATCTTTCGGAATACTGTTTAGTTACGGTTCTGAATTTAGTTCAGAATTCTTTCAGTGCTATTAAAATAATGATCTTTGAGGTGAGACTTCACTTTAGCGAAGAGAAAGTAGTCAGCAGGTGATTAAGGGAGGAGGTTGAGAATTGCGCTTTTTTATTTTTTTTATTTTATTTATTTATTTTTTTGGGGGGGGCTAGAAACAATTTGACGAGAAAGGAATATTATGATGGCGCATCGTTGTGAACCACAAACCAATTATTTGATTGAGTATTTTCAGGTTAATGTGCTGAATTCTTTTTAGAAGTCCGTCCATTACGTCTTTATAATATATGAAGTTTATCGTGTGTCCTATTCTATTATGCCTGTTCCTTTCCGAAAAAATATCATACATTTGGGCTTTGCTCCAGATTTTTGAAACAGAAGCTTCAGTGATAATTTCGAAACTTTTTCAACAAGCAATTTATTGTTATGCCGACAAGCATTTTGTTATTATTCTAACAAGCAGTTTAGTATTATTTAAAAAACCTTTCCTTTTTATTTGAGGGTCGTAAGCAAGTCATGTTCACTTACAGTGTGTTTAAAGATTCAACCGAATCAATCGAATCCGAATCAGTGACAGTAGTTTATTCAATAAATCAAAGAAAACGATTAACTGAGAACAAATTCTATCCATAGATAGCAGCTGGAATTTTAAACATGTTGAAAGGTCAAAATAATTTCACATATCGTTTGGTAATTATTCTAAAATTAAAAAAAAAAAAAAAAGGTTAGCATTAAAACTTTGTTCAGACTCAGTATGCATTTCGCTTTCCTTCTTAAATGGACGTATTGTAGTACCTCTTGCAAATTAAGGATATTAAATTTTTTTCCAGTGTCAAATTAAAACTCAACTAAAAAATAAAAATCTGAAAGCTATAAATAAAACTATAAATAAAAATCTGAAAGCTTACAGATTGCGTCCAAAGGGTCGTTTTTTTAACGTTTTGTATGTTACCTTTATTTATTAAATACCATGTTAAATTGAATTTGACTATTCCTTTAGTTGTATCACCACGAACTGTAGTTAATATCGTTAACAGAAGAAAGTGCTTTTGTATTCTAAGGTCTGTTTAAATGAAAAGGTTGATTAAATCTTTCCACGACTTTGTATTTGTTTAGAGACCTAGCGATCAGTCGCTTCACGTCTGATAGGGGTTTGAATTCATTACCAGTTCCAAATCAAGTAAAACTCCATAAAGTGTTGAAAAGTTTACTGCACGATGTGCTTAAAAAATCTGATGTGGACAGCACATGTTTTTCTTGTACGGTCTATTAAATTACATATATTTTTTGTCACACTACGTTTAAACTTATTTCCTCGAATTAATCAACTTCATTAACCGAATCCTCAAGGCAAGTCGAAAATAACATCAAAAATCACAAATTTCGAAATTAAATATCCCGGTCAATTTTTGTCGTACAGGGAGTCAAACTTCTTGTACTTTCATTTTTTCATAATGAGTATAATAGTTTCGCAAATATAGTATAGGAACCGTAAGACTGCATTAAAAATTAGATTTCATTATTTGCCCAAAATTAATTTTTTTAAATGTGACTGCCACGTTTCGTCATTTAAACGCTTCTGTATTTTTGCTTCAGTTCATTTAAACTTATTTCCTCGATTTATTCTAACTTAATTAACCAATCCTTCAAAGCAAGTTGAAAATGACGCCAAAAATTGCACGCATAATATATATATATATATATATATATGTGTGTGTGTGTGTGTATACACATGTTTGTTAAAATTTAAATTTGTTTAAATTTATATATGTGTGTGTGTGTGTGTATATGTTTGGTACTGCCAACTGCAATAAAAAAGGGAGGTGCACAACTAGATGTTACAGCCTATATACAAAATTTCAACGCTCTATGACTAATAGTTTTGAGTTATACGAGGTACGTACGTACTTACGCGCGTACGAAATCACGAAAACGACGTCAAAGGAAGAAAAATCCCTTTTGAAATTTTACAACTTCTTTTTGAAAGAAAGAGTTCTTTATTATGTCTATACGTAGAGACGTCACGCAGAAAAGTCGCTCGAATTAGTTCGGGAACACTCAAAATGGATATTTCTGTTGAAACACAATACCCGAAATCTTTTGCGATTACAATACTGCCTTTTTACTTTATTCAATTAATTTATTCAAGGAAGTAAAAAATGTACTAGCGATAAAAATGAAATGTCATAATAATTTATGCATTTCATTTCTGTGTTGCTTATTCCCACATTTCTGTTTCTTATATCTAATCAGTTGTGTAATTTTAAATATTTTGTTATTTTCTTAGTCATACAAATTGATGTTCAGAAAAGAAATACACATCACAGCTTTCAAAATTAAAATAAATTCTTTTACTTTTTTTCCTTGAGTCGATTTTTAATTTTATTTAATAGCAAATATTCCGCTTTTGTTTTTCAAAAATAATGCGTCCTCCCTTCTATCACTTAGATATTTCGTAACCGACAGCTTTGCCCATGGTGTACTAAAAGGAGTAAGTGTTAGACTGTAATCCTAAGTTTCGGAATGCGCGTTTTACTATATTTTTTGTTACGTTTTTACCACTATAAATTATACAAGGTAAGAAACGTATAACTGCTTTATTAAGTTCATACACGGTGTTGCATGTATGAGTTTGTATTATGCAAATTGATCTAGAAGCTTTTTAAAATGAAGTGAAAAAAAGTGTCAAACTTACAATTTACTTATAAATTGGGCGACCTTACTTAGGTTAATACTTTTGCGACTGTAGTTAGGTGTTGACAAATTCAGAGGATAACTGGATAAGTTCTGATTTTGAATTCCGACGAACGGGAGTTTGCCCAGGAGTTTCGTGATTTCTTTCTATTTACAAAAGAATTTATCTCAGAAAGTCCTTTACGAAAGAATTCCTTTCTTAAACAGACACATAGCGCATGCTTTGAATTAATGAATCAATTTCTTCTACGATCTCATCATGACTAACTAACCATCTTCTGCGAAGATGGATAGTTAGAGGATTTCATGAGACTTTCACTGGATGTAGCCAGTATAAATTTAATAAGTTAATAAAATCAATCGGCATGTAGATGTTAAAACACATGAACATATATCTACATATTTTCGCCGTCTACAGAATCGTGCATTCCAGAACAATCTTAAAAGTAGTAAGTTTTACAGTTAAGCTGACTATTTCTATAGTGAGTTAATTATACCAAACTCA